TGGTTAAAGTCCTATAACATGTTGTGTTTCTGAGCCAACCAGACAATTGAGTAGAACTCAAGAAATCTGCACCAAGCAAAGTTTAATGAAGGGAAATAAAGGAGATTGTAAACTGTTGGGGCATAGAGTCATGTAATCCAGTAGCCAAGAATAGGACAGAAATTTGTATAATTTCATTCCAGAATTCTTGGTACTCAGTTCTCCATATGCAAGGTTAAGTGGGATTTATATCCTTACAGCAAGGAGGGAAGCACAATGGCTATAATAGTAATAGCAGCAGCATTTAGGCTTATATACCATTCCACAGCACTTTACAACACTCTGGATGGTTTACAATATAAACATTATTTTGCATATTGCCCCCAATAATCTGGGTCCTCATTTTACCAACCTTGGAGGGATTGAAGGCTGATTTATCCTTGAGCCCCATCAGGATCAAAGTGCAGCTGTGGGCAGAGTTTGCCAGGAGGAGGAGAAAGAGAAGGAGAAGAAGAGGAGGAGGAGGAGGAGGAGGAGGAGGAGGAGGAGGAGGAGGAGGAGGAGGAGGAGGAGGAGGAGGAGGAGGAGGAGGAGGAAGAAGGAGAAGGAGAAGGAGAAGGAGAAGAAGAAGAAGTTGTTATTGTTCCATTTACATCCAACTTTTCCTCATCTGTTCCTGGGATATTTCATTCAGAAACGTCTGGAGAATGATAAATATCTCACCTTTGCTGTAATATGCAAGACTGCTTTTAAAATGTTCTTTTAAAAAAACAAATCCGTCCAGTTTACCCAGTTTGTCTAGGGAGCCAGTTTCATATAGTGAGAGGGATGACTAGAGCTATGCCTCCAGGGGCCTCTCCCACTCTTGAGGTACCCCATGTTCTGCTTAACAACCTGCACGTTCATTTAACAGTTCATTGAAGAGAGTATGGATGGGGGGGGTCATTAGGTAGATGCTTCACCTAATGGCTGTTGCAGCATGCAACTGGTCATATCTCGAGGGCTGCCTTAAGCAACATAATATGGTTTAATAATGTACAGTTAAAAATCTGGGGAAGGGAGGAGAGGAGGAATTCATTCTTTCGCTGATTATGTTACTAGACATCTGAATCCATTGAAAGTGGTTGCAGATCACTCACTATCATGATAAAATAATTTTCAATCTAATTTGTATGCTAAAATTATATTTCTTGCTTTCTGCTAAAAAGTTTCTGTGCGTGTTTTACTGGAAATGGGGGTTAAATAGGTGTTAGTAAAGAAACTGGCTGAGAACATACTTCTGAATATCTAGCCCAAGTAATGTAATCTGAGTGTAATTCAGTCTAATCCCTGTCTTTATATTCTATAAAAACAAAAAACTGATTTTCCTGAAAATTGATAAATTACCGGAACTCACAGATAAGGGAGAAATTGCAGACAACAAAACAATTGTTCAGAACAATTTTAGCATTGTTCACTGTAGAAATGTATAGTAAAGAAATAATTCCCTCTACAACATGTCTTATCATTATAAATAGCATTCAATTCAGTTCAAAGCACCACATGAAATGCAAATTCCTGCATTCTTAATGCAAAATGGCAGCTGGAGTGGTTGGGATGATCAGACATCCCAGAATTTTCAAGCTTATGGTTTATATCATTCATATATTTCAAGTCAGGGTTTATATACTGTAGTCTATGGGATGTTGTTTGCTGAAAATCAGTGAAGCAAGAAAGTTATTAGCTGAAAGTATTAACAACCGATTTTATAGTTGTGCTTCTACAGATTCATTAAGTGTATTACAAGGAAAGGGGGGAACAGCTGTGTTTTAGTCAAAATAGTTCTGTTCAGTCAGCCATTCTATGATAAAATCTGAAGAAAAATGGAGCCACTAAAAGCCTACGTAAAAGTCAACAGGAAGAAAGCTAATTGCATCTCCTGGGGGAAAGAAATTCCATATATATAGTGTCACTGCCAAAAAGGACCTTTTATTTGTATCTGCCAGTTTCCACCCATCATGTTTGTAGCTGATACATTCCTCTTACCGTGAACTTTACAGTTCAAATTACATTTGCAAACTATTTTCAGGTATTCATTCATCATTCTATCTTCCCATACAGAAGTACTTAAAAATTAAAGCATTATCAAGATTCAGTCTTTCAGAGCTTAAAGCAATCTTCTCCCACTTCCCCATGTTTTATAATAGAATTTCTTAGAATTCCTAGCCATTGACCATGAAGTTAGATAAAAACTTCAGTTTATAGTCAACATGTTAATGTATTACAATCTCGTAAAACATAGACTGTCAGAGTTGGAAGGTTCTTGAGATCTTCTAGTCCAATCCTCTATTCATACCCTATACCATTTGTCTAGTCTCTTTTTAAAAACCTCCAGTTATGGACCACCCACAATTTCTGAAGGCAAGATGTTCTACTGGCTAATAGTTCTCAATGTCAGGAAATTTCACCTTAGTTATAGGTTGGATCTCTCTTTGATTAGTTTCCATCCGTTGTTGTCTTTGTAATTTAAAGGGCAGAGATGGATGGATGGATGGATGGATGGATTTGCCCTCAAGCCGTCTATATTTGCCCTCAAACCATGTAGGTGGATGTAATTTATCTCAGAATATTCTTTTCAGCAGGAATCCTAGCTACTAGAAAACTGTGTAGGTGGGAATCTTTGAATATAGCTGGATCCCCCTAAGGTTGTTTAAACTGTTAGAAAACACAAATAGAATTATGATCTGTAGAACGTGCTTATACTATAGCATGCTCACAATTAACTCTGCAAGATTCTCTTGGATGATGAAAATATTAGACATGTGCCAAAAACAGGCATTATGTGTCATAGAACTGCTTCATAATGTCACCATTTGGGATATATCATCCAACAGAACACCTATGTAAACAACAGTCAGTGCATAGCTATATCTTACTGACTTTTTTTTTTCTCGAAAGGGAAGCAGTTTCCTCCAAATAACAGTAAAATGTGGGGTGTGGGGAATTTATTAAAAGGAATGTAATGGAGGAAGATATTATTGGATAGGAAAGGCAGTGTTAGTGACAGTCAAGAAAAAAGAAGGCTGCTACCAGGAAGGAGGGCACTTATTCTGCCTTTCTCTTTTTGTGTAAAGTGTCTCTCTACATACACAGTCTCCTTGTATAGACTTGAATGTTTGACCGTTTGACGCTGCAGAGCATCCTCTATCCATTAAGATTCTCCATACAGATGAGGATGATGAAAAATCAGATACAGGCTGTTCTTGACTTACAAGCGTTCATTTAGGAATCGTTCAAAGTTACAACGGCATTGAAAAAAGTGATTTACAACTGTTTTTCACACTTATGACCATTGCAGCATCCCTGTGGGTCACGTGATCAAAATTGGGCCACGGCAACTGGAATTTCTTTATGATGGTTGCAGTGTCCTGAGGTCATGTGATTCCCTTTTGTGAGCCTCCGACAAGCAAAGTCAGTGGGGAAACTGGATTTTCTTAATGACTATGTGCTTTGCTAATGACCATGTAACAACAGCGATTTGCTTAATAGCTGTGGCAAAAAAGTTATAAAATGGGGCGGCACTCACTTAATCTTGCTTTGCAGCAGAAATGTTGGGCTCAATTGTGGATGTAAGGCAGGAACTACCTGTACCTCAACTGGTGCAGAATCTCTACAAATAGGGAAGGTCTATAGTGTATCATCTGTATTTAGAAGGGAATGAAAGGAGCATGTTGACTAAGCAGGAGTAGAATTTATAAACATTTCTTCGGATTACGAACTGCTGAATTCCCTGGGATGTAATGCAGGTTGATTAAAATGACTTTTTCCCCCCTTTCCTTTTTGCAAGAAGAAGAAAACAAAAACAGAAAGATTCTGTTTCAGCATAGGAGTATTCTGTGAATACGGTACATATATAGCAATAGGAGCTGTTGAATTCAGTGAGACGTATGACAGAGTAAATATTACCAGCTTATACTTGCTGAGTCCAGATTCCACAAACAGCCTTTTTCTCTGTGTGTGCACATATGCCTGTGTATTTTCAAAAGGTTAAATTCAATAAAAGCTAGAAATGTTTGTATCTGAATATGAAGATAGAAGACTCTTGTCTTAAAGAGTCCTGCCTTAAAAATAAATGAGAAAAATTCGAACATGAATGCATTAGAGCAGTGGTTCTCAACATTTTCTTCACCATGAACCCCCTTTAAATATATTTTATGGCCATGGAGCATGGCCACAGACCACCAAGACTTAACTCAACATTTAAATTGTAACATTTGTTCAAGCCTTTGTGGACTCATGGTGATGACATCACAGTCTCTCCAGAGGTCCACAGACCACAGGTTGAGAACCACTGGTTTAGAGCATTTCTCTGTGCCAGTGAATAAATCCTCCACTAGTGTATCTGTATGTCTCATTATATAATGTACAATTATACATAAAACAGAAAGCGGAAAATTAGTAGTTCAAAATGTATTGAGTTGAAATGAGCATTCTCCTACAGATAGCCCTCGCTTAATGACTGGTTGTTTTATGACTCTTTTATGACTTTGAAGTTACAACAGCCACAGAAAGGGGGCTTTACAATACCGTGAATGCGTGTGGGATGGGTCAGCTTTACAGTAGGCCATGATGTTCTGCATTCTTGTGACCATGATTCACTATGATTTTGCTGGTTTCCACCCATTCACATGAATACATTCACTTAATGACCACTGTGTTCACTTAACAACTACCACAAAAGAGGCCAGATAATTATTTCTATTTATGGGAGTGCCTCAACTTAATAATTCCAGGATCAGTTAAGGTTGTACATCAAGGACTACCTGTTGCTCTTTATTCATCTTACTGAGTTGGCGGGATATAAAGATAATAGTCCTATTAATTCAGTAATCTGCACACATTTATGTATACTAGGTTGCTGATCTAGATAATTAAACTAAATAAGATGGCAGTAAGACCTTTTCAGAGAGTGGGAAGAATATATATCATTTTGTAATCCCAGAGACTAGTACATCAAATTAATCCTAAGGGATTTTGTTTAGCTCCTACAGAACCTTTGTTGTGCAAGTTTGCGGATGGAGGACAAAAAAAGAGACAGAATCAGAACAAATATATACAAAATGGAAGAGCATGGCACAGAGAAGGCGAGGTGAGACTTGTAAGTTCTGATTTCAATCTTTTAATGTTTTGTATGTGTGTAGATTAAAAAAGAGTAATGTAATTGTACCTTGTTTTGTCATTCCTCTGTATTGTTCAATAGAGTTTTACAATTCTGTGCTATTTGCCTTCTTGATCATATAAACATTGAAATTCAAATCATAAATATGCACTCCCTTTTTAGGAATGTTTTATTTTATTTAAATTTTGTTGAAAACCATCTACTGCTCTGTGACTAAGAGCCAAATCAATAAGAACAATAAACAAAATGCAATAGAATTAAAATTGCATGTCAGCAAAGGGAGGAAATGTCAATCAAATACCCTTTAATCAAATCAAACCGTAACCTAATAACAGCACTGTGAAGCAGAATAGCTTCCAAGTCAGGTCAGAAAAGCAAGAGGCATTGGCACACACCTCCAAAGTTTCATAAACGTTTGAAGGCTCTCTTAGTATTTTAGTGAGTTGGTGCCTCAAGGGAAGGAAATCCAACTATTTCTACTCTTGAAAAATACCTTCTTTCCTAGCACACGTGCAGTCCATATTGTGTGGTTTAACAGCTCAGCTACATACTGGCATATGGTTATATGAGCACATCGCTATCATGATTCAGCATATCTGAAAAGTTCAGTAAATAACAAGATATATAGTAGCTGAGATTTGCATGGGCTTTCAAAGCATACTTGTGGAAATGGTGCAATGGTGCATTGCACATACTCTCATTGTGGGATATGCGGCTGAGTGCCAAAGCTAACATGTGAAAATATGTTTTGATTGGAACTCTATTTTATTGAAAAAGTATGGGAACTCCTAAATACTTTACTTTATGTATATCAATTATGGTAAAAAAAAATACTTCTTGAAATACTGCTGTCATTGTATCATTTTTTTTATTAAATCAAACAGATGGGCTGGTGTTTTGATTGGGTTAATAAAGTATTGATGGTTAATTCTTCCTTTTCCTAAAGGCTGGGATGACACTCACTTACGATCCAACTACAGCTGCTTTACAAAACGGGTATGTAAATCAAGCACTTAATAAATGCAGTTGATTTTTCTGTGTCTTTTAAAAAGTTAATAATGAAAATATATGTATTTTTTAGATTTTACCCCTCACCATACAGTATTGCAACAAACAGAATGATCACTCAAACATCTATCACGCCATATATAGCTTCTCCAGTTTCTACATACCAGGTGTGTATTTCAAGGTTAGCAGAGCTAACAGTAAAATTATGTTTTCTTTGTAAGTGGCTCATCTGTATTACACATATTGAAAAGCCTTATTACCAAATCTGGGCATATCTAGATAAGAAGCTCACCTCAGCTCCCAAATTCCCTCAGAACCCATTAATAAGAGCTCTAGAAATTTAGGATTATGCATCTGGAAGGCAAACAGGTTGAGGAAAGCTGGGGTAGAATGCCAAAGATAATGCAGTACTACATTGAATTGTTTTAGTGTAAATTCCACACAGATTTATCAGTAAACTGCTCCTTGGTTTCCTGTTGTATAGAAATTGATAGGTGCAGCAGGGGGACATAAAAGCTTTTGTCACTTAAAAGTATTGCTAAAATAAGAGATAATGCATTGTGTTTGAGGGAGCCTTGAAAACCTCAGATTGTTTATCAGATTTGCCAAAAGAGAACAGTCCTGCCCCCCCAAAAGCTTCCTTACTCCCTATGAGAATTAAGAATCTCCCTAAAATTGTACATTAGTACATTTTATAGGAAAGGTCCCTGGAGTATATATAGATTATTTTGTAAGACTTCAAGTAGATATCCTGTTTACTTCCTTTCTATTTAGTGCAGGATCTCACAAAACATTGGGAGATAAACCCAAGGAACCTTCCTCAAGGCTGAGGAAGAGAGTGAGCAATCTCACACTTTCTTTAACCCCACATCTCCTTGGGAATGCTGTGTAAGATCAGACTCCAGAGACCGTGCTAGCTTTATTGGTTTAGAAGAGGGAAAGAAAGAAGAAAACAAAAACAGTGTTACGGAGAATGGCTAAACAACCACCTTTTCCTCTTGCCATCAGGGAGTGAAATTGGCTTAGTTAAGGGCAAAGGAACTGTATTCAACCAATGTGGGATCCCTGCCCAGGCTCTGCTCAGGGTATATTGATTGGCGATTGCCCAATGTGCTTGGGAGGAAGGCCCTGCCAGACAGGAAGGCCTGGGGAAATCAATCCCACATTCTATTGAATCGCTTTTGCAGACTTCACTGGCTGCTACTTCTGAGTCCTTCCTCCAGATGGCGCTTTTGAGCAAGGGGTATGGATAAATGGCTCTGGTTCTCCCTGTTCAAAACCAGACTTAAAGGTAGTACTTGTGTATGCAGAGAATAAAGGAGGGGGGGGGGGTTGAGGAGTTGCTTCTCTTTACAGCCTGCACAAATTGTTCATAAAAGCCAACGTAATTTGTACCCATGCTTATTCAAACGAGATAAGAACCTGTGGAACTTGCCATTCTGAATCTTTCAGTATGCTGTTTTACAGTTCACTGAAAAAGAAAATGGAGGTATGAACACCTAAAAGTTGTTATAGTATTAAGACATTCATAGGCAGCACATTTGTTTTAGATAGAAACTTTTCAAGATTTTTTTTTCCTCAAAATGTCCAGATGATCCTTATCAGGCATAATTTCCTCCAGTTCTATCTGTCTGATTAAGCTCTATTAACTGTTCCTTTTATCCAGAGCATTCATCCCAAATAAAAGCAAAATAACTCCCAAGTCATGTTTACAATGAACTTTTTAAAGTTAACTGCAGCCCGAGTTGGACAGCACTAAGGCTCAACAAATAACCTCCTCTATTGTAAATCCCAATTGGTCTTTTCAAAAAAAGGGAAACAGATGTTACCGCTTAGCCAGACCCCTCCCTCCCCTTGGTATCTGTGAAAACTCTGTTGAGGAGGTCACATCCTGTACTCTTGCAATGTCAGATCGGGATTGCTGGTATTCAGCTTTCTGCTTATGGTTAAAAAAGGGGAGGAACTGTTTATGGCTTAATCATTTGTCATCTCCTTGTAGCATTTGAAGGTACCGCACTAAGACATTTAGATTGGAGGGGATTATGGTGTCTTCTAAGTGAAAGGTAGTGTGAATTAACACAGTCTTCCAGGTTGTCCTATATTGGCACTGGAATTTTCACCTTTTGCAGCCCACATATAAGTCAACTTAAGCCCACTTCCCAACCTTGAGGCTTCAAAAGGTGTGAACTTAACGTTATTGGAAGTTATATAACTGAAGATACACTGAACATTCTGTAAGCTATTCATCCTTAATACAAATTTGTTAAAATGTTTTTTGTTTTATTTTCCAGGTGCAGAGTCCCTCCTGGATGCAGCCTCAACCATATATAATGCAGCATCCTGTAAGCATGCGTTCTTTCCCTTAATGTTGCTCTGACTCTGCTCTTGAAATGGGAATGGGTAGGAAATGATTTTGTTCCCATTTCTATAGGTTTATGTAGTCAAGAGCTGGATTATATAAATCCATATAGCTACATTCTATAGCAGGCAGAACCTATTGCATACACTAAATAACCATCCAGAGTTTCTGGGAGTCAGGCATCAATCTAATATAACATTATGCAATCCATCACTGTTGATAAAAAAAGTAAATAATTTCATCTTATCCTTAAGGCCCCTAATCCAAGCAATGAAGTGACTGTTGGATCAATTCTATCCATCTGTAAAACTGGGATGAAAACTTATGAGTCCTGTATACTGCTTGGAAGATACTAGGGTGATTTATCAGGGTTATTATATACCTGAAAGGCACTTGAGGATAGCTATAAATACATACATACATACATAACAAACAGGTGTGTGTGTGTGCTTGTGTGCCTGTATCTTTAGATACATAGTTCCTGACAGGAAATCCTAGATCTATCACTTCTGAAGCTTAAGCGTTCACTTAGGAAATGTGCTCACTTCTCCCACTAAATTTAGTTTAGAGAAACTTGCAGTCTATATTTGGGGCTGGGTGATATCTGTACAGCCATATATGGAGCCCATTATAAATACTTCACTAACTGCCCTGGTAAAATAACTTGACCAGAAATATTCTTACCTATAGAACAAACTAGCCATACTGGATTAGACTAATGTTCCATTTATTCCAGCATCCCGTTTCCTGCGTGCTGCAAAGAGTTATATTTATTGGCTTAAATGGTCCCTTCCAATTCTGTGCTGGATAGACAGAGGTTTCCAGGAACATTTTTCCTGTAGAGAGCTTTATCAGTGAAATGGATCCAGGGACCATACATCCATTTTGGTTTTTTTACTTAAGGAAGAGGGGAGGGGAGAGTTTGTGCAAAAAGTGGAATTCCCAACTATTGCAGTAACAAGATCCATATGTTTTATCTAGAAAAAAATGGCCCTTTATAGAAGGTAGAAAACACTCAGGAAATTCCATGAAGGTGGCATTTTCCTATGCCTGAGGAAATGGAAGATTCCCCCTTCTATAGCATTCAGCAGAATCCCACATATTTACTTGTGCCTTAAGTTGTGATAATCTTGCAATGAACAATAATTTCATAATTATGTGGATTTCATAATGTTCATCTTCCAGCATCTTTCTCAACCAGTCATTGAAAAACCCAGGTGTGCTATTTAAATAAAGATCTTAAATTTAGTTATTTGTTTTGTTTGTATCCTGCCTTTATTATTTGCACAAATAATTCAAGGCAAGAACGTATACAGCCCACCTTGTTTCCCCTATTTTCCACACAATGACAACCCCTGTGAGGTGAGTTGGGTTGAGAGAGAATGACTGGCTCAAAGTCAAAATATATCTTACTGAAACTGTCCTATAAAAGCGTCTTACACATGCAACTTTTCTAGAAAAGAATGGAAAATCCACATTAGGAAGTGTTTTAAATCTGTCTCTTTCATTCTGGTAGGGGGCTGTATTAACTCCTTCCATGGAGCACACCATGTCTTTGCAGCCGGCATCAATGATAAGTCCACTGACCCAACAGATGAGCCACCTTTCATTGGGCAGCACTGGAACAGTATGTAGCCAATTCCAATAAGCTCCATTAATAACCACTGTAAAAGTTAGCTGTCTGTTTTATGGCATTTTCACTACCTGGTAAGAGTGCATCCAGTAGAAACCCTGTCCATATGGAACATGGACACTAGCAGATTTGAAGGGTGAATGTACCTGATTTCTTCCCATATTTCTCCAAAATACATGATCTTACAGCTTGATAGCAGTAGTGACAAGAGCTCTTGAATCTACTATGATTTATCTGCCAACAAGAACTGGCATTGTAAGAAATGTCTTGCAAAGAAAAAAAATTAAAATGCTGTTGCCAGTGATTTGGTTAAAATGATTTTGGAAACACTTGATTTTTTTTCTCCATGATATTAAAGCAAAAAACCCTAAAACCACACTTTTACAGGTAGTCCTCGATTTACAACCACAGGTGAGTCCAACATTTCTGTTGTTAAGTGAGACATTTGTTAAGTGAGTTTTGCCCCACTTTACGATTTTTCTTGCCACAGTTGTTTAGTGATAAGTGGGCCTGCACTGCAGTGGATAAATTAGTAACCTAGTTGTTAAATGAATCTGGCTTCCCCATTGCCTTTGCTTGTCAGAAGGTCGCAAAAAGGGAACATGTGACCCTGGGGCACAGCAAAGGTCATAAATAAAACATCAATTTTGATCACATGATCATGGGACTACTGCAAAGTCACAACTATAAAAAATGGTTATAAATCACATTTTTCAGTATTGTTTTAACTTTGATCACTAAATAAACTGTTGTAAATCGAGAACTACCTGTATTTTTAATAATCTGAGAGCATGCATTCTTTTTCTGCAATAGCAATAGCACTTAGACTTATATACCGCTTCACAGTGCTTTACAGCCCTATCTAAGCAATTTATAGTCAGCATATTGCCCCCAACAACGGCCTTGGAAGGATGGAACGCTGAGTCAACCTTGAGCCAGTGATAATCGAACTGGTGGCAGTCGGCAGTCAGCAGAATTAGCCTGCAATACTAATGCATTCTAATCATTACACCACCACAGCTTTGTAAGCTGCCTATAGAATCACAGTGGATGAATTAGGTGGCCATATAAATTTTCTTAATGAATAATAAATACCGTCATTTGCTAAATTTATCATAGTTTATCTAAATAAGTTATAACACGTTTTCTACATTACTCCATCCTATCCATCACACATTTGGATGAAAGCTGTATCTACTTTCAAATACACTCTGTTTTGTCTGGAATTATTAAACCTACATTAACCATGGTTTGCCATTTCAAGTATGATTATGAGTCATGGATAAGCAAAAAGAGAAGAGAACTCTTCCAAGCAAGTCATGTTGCACATCATATTTATTGGGCCTTATATCTCAGATGTAAAAATGCTTGAATGTGCTTATATTTAAGATGCTAACATGCTTGCCTGTGCTCCATTGAGCTGAATATATTATCTGCCTTTTTTTGTAGTACATGCCTGCCACAACAGCTATGCAAGGAGCTTATATTCCCCAGTATACACATGTTCCCACTGCAGCTGTTCCAGTTGAGGTGAGAAAATCTTTACTAGTCAAAATATATTACATGATTGCTGTGAACTCTTGGTTGTTGTTGTTTTGCTACTCTTATTGATGCATCATATTTTTAATGGTATTTAGTTTTTTTATGTTTTAACTGTACATCGTCTACAGCCGTGATGGCAAACCTATGGCATGCCTGCCACAGGTGGCACGCAGAGCCATTTTTGTCGGCACGCAAGCCACAGCAAACTTACCTCGCTGCGCATGCGCGCACCTCACAGCTGGTTTGAGGCCTTTTTCGGCCTTCCAGAGGCTTGAAAAAAGCCTCTGCAGGCTTTGCAGGATGAATAATAGGCCCATTTCATCACTTCCTGTCATACCAGAAGTGACGAAACAGGCCTATTATTCATCCTGCAGAGGCTTTTTTTCAAGCCTCTGGGAGGCCGAAGAAGGCCTCAAACCGGCCAAATATCAGCTGTGAGGCACAGTGCAGGTAAGGGGGTGGCGGGGGGGAGGGATTGCGCGCACAGGGGGGACATTGCCTTCTGGATGCTGGCACACGAGCGCGTGCACACAATTTTTGGCACAGGAGCCAAAAAAGATTAGCCACCACTGGCCTAGAGTTACTCTGTGAGTGAGTTGGGTGATATCTAACTTTGACAAAAAAAATAAAATGAAAATTCTACATATGCCTTCTTAAGAATTTGATTAATAGGGTGGGATAAAAGCAACTATGGTAAGAGTGAGTGTGTGTTTATGGTTGTTGATGTCTTTGTAGAGAACATCGTAGAGAACAGTCTTTGTAGAGAACCAAAGATGCAGTATCTTAAGAAAAATGGCCAACTATAATATAAGTAGTCCTCAACCTAACCCCAATTGAACCCAAAATTTATGTTGCTAAGCGAGACATTTGTTAAATGAGTTTTGCCCCATTTTACAACCTTTCTTGCTACAGATGTTAAGTAAATATCTGCAATTGCTAAATTAACACAGTTGTTAAGTGAATCTGGCTTCTCCATTGACTTTGCTTGTCCAAAAGTCACAAAAGTTGATCACATGATCCTGGGACACTGCAACCGTTATAAATATGAGTCAGTTGCCAAGTGTCTGGATTTTGATCATATGACCATGGGGATTGCTGCAATGGTCATAAGTGTGAAAAACGGTCATAAATCACTTTTTTTCAGTGCCATTGTAACTTTGAAGTGTCTTACAGGACTACCTGTATATGACATCACAAATTTTAGAAACTGTCTTGATATATTTTCTTATAAAATATGTTCCATAACTCAATTGAAGAAATAATAATTAGAATACCTCTCACAATATAGCTGGTGATTTTGTTTTAACAGGAGGCCAGTGGTCAGCAGCAAGTTACAGTAGAAACATCCAGTGATCATTCTCCATACACTTATCAGCAAAACAAGTAATTGTGAGGTAAAATTTTGTCATCATATTTCTCCAGAAGTGTAAAAATATTTTCTCATCCCAAAATAGAAGGAACTATAGACTCTGCTAATAATTTTATGAAGCCAGTGTGAAATAATGCTGCATTTGGTACCCTGAATGTTTTCTCAGTTCCTACAAAAGTTGTCTGCTACAACCATGAACTTGTCAAGGAAGTTTCCTTCTGTTGATTATAGAAAAATACATTTGTTGTAGCAAATTTGTATTAGGTTGCTTAGGATATGGACCTCTAGAATATCTATAATAGAAACCCATTCTTATAAAGCCATATTTTAATATTTGAATTTAAGAATTTCCTTGGATTTTTAACTTGCCTTCCAATTAACATTTTAGGAAAATATATCCAAGTATTATCCTAAGTATTTCATTTTAATTTTGCAAGATGTCTTACCCCCTACCTGAAAATGGGATACCGTGTTTCTCATAAATTAAGGCTGGGCCTTTTTTTTTTTTTTTGAGCCCTGAAAAAATGGCTAGGCCGTCTTTTCTGGAGTGACTTAATTTCCCCCCCACACGCAACCCCACGCATCACCACGAGGGAGCTTCTATCAACCGATAGAAGCACCCCGAGGGCAGAATCACCCGCCGCTTCTATCGGCCGATAGCAGTGGCCTCGTGGTGAGGCATGGCTGCCCGCGGGGTGCTCTAGCCAAGGCTACCTGTGGGGCGCTCCTAAAGGCAAGTTTCCCCCCCACACACCCTTCCCCCCATTTCCCTTCACCTCGTGTAGTTCAAGGGATGTTGAGAAATGGTGGGGAACACATGGTTTAAATAGGCCCAAATTTGGGGGGCGGGGCTTAATTTAACCTCATGAATATAAAACTGCTGGCCTTCCTATGGTGGTGGGGCGTATTGTTGGAGAAACATGGTACTTTTATATATATTTGGGAAGCTCACACTTCTATTTCGTCCACATAATAATATGAAATATTTTTATTAGATCTCATATCTACTTAGAAATTTTAATATCAAATGTAGATTACATGCATGCAGGTATCAACTAAACCATGGCTTGTTTCACTAATTTGGGAATTCTTTTTTAGCCATTCTTTTTGTAGCTATTCTTGTCTCTGTGAAATGTGCTATGAAGTCCTGGAAATGGCTCAAAAAGAAATTGAAAATAAGCCAGGGAAACTACCCCCAAAGCATGTCCTTTTTTGGGATATCATGTCACTTCACAGGTGCACTTTGTAAACCAATAATAAGCCCTTGTTTAAACTGATATACTTGCTTCAAATAAACAATAGTGTATTCATTGCCCTTCATTCATACGTACCTTTGGGCAAGGTGTCAACTAAGCTCCACATAGAAGATTTTCCCCCTTTAAGTTTATAACCTCAATAAATTTATACAGCAGGCTGGTTATTAGGAATGAGGTCTTTGGGGATGAAATGTATTTTTACTCTTTTTTTTTTTTCAGATACGTTGGTGGTGACCTTGCTAGAGAAGGATGCAAAGGCTGAAACAATCATGGATTTTACTGATCAATTGTGCTTTAGAAATTATTGACAGTTTTGCACAGGTTCTTGAAAAAGTTATTTATAATGAAATCAACTGAAACTATTTTTGCTATAAGTTCTATAAGGTGCATAAAGAAAAAGAAAAAAAAAATCTTAAAATTCATCCTAGTAGCTGTTCCCTTTCCCTCCCCCCTCAAACAGGTTTATTTTAGTATGAAATTTTTTATCAAGTGTTATGACGCAAAAAAAAAAGAAAAAAAGAAAAAAAACCTTTAAAAATAATTCCGGTCACGCACAGCTCAAAATGGAGACACATCCATGTGCATGACAGAATCCGTCTCTTGGTTTATTTTTATTTTGTTTTAATTTTTTAAAAAAACGTATAATTTCTTTTGAAGTTTAAATTAGTAAAACATCCATGCTGATGTTCTGTGCTTGCTGTGTGAGTCTCGCTCTAGTGCAGTGTTGCAATTGTAGGGTCTGTTTTCATAGCTTTCTGTTTTGTTTTGTTTTTCTTTAAAAGTAGTCTGAGGTGTCTCATCTTTTTTCTATCAATTCCAATTTGCCTTAACTCTTTTAATGCTGTAGCTGTTTCAGTACGTAGTCCAAACTAATGGTGTAGAATGCTTTTGACCAAAGCTGGTCTATTATGCCTTGTAAAACAGCAGGATAGGGCTTTTAAGAGGTAGTCGATAAAAATTGCTGAAAAATCTGGCTTTTTAAAAATGTGTAGTAAGTGTTTTTAATGATTTTTTTTTCCTCACATAATAATGTAAGGTTGTGAAATGCAAGATTGGGGAATAGGGAAATGTTTTGTGTGAAACACATTTTTCTGACTGGGGAAATTTTAATAGAATAAATCGTTTGTAAGGCCTTATGCCAATTAGTTTTCCTCTGCTAGTTAGGAACTCTGCTGTATGATGCAATGTTTAAAAAAAAAAAAACTTTTTGCCTTTTTTTCCAGAAGCTAATTATGTTTTAGTTGTAGGGTGGGGGAGTTTGGGCGGGGGAGGGGGAGGGAATCTGCCGAATGTTTCTGTCCTTTCTAGTAATGATAATGCTTAAGAACAATGCTGTACTGAGACCTAGCAAATAGAGGCATTTGCTTTTACAGCAAAGGCAAAAGCTAAAAGACCTTTTTCAAAATATAAGCTGAGATTTAAGTAGAAAATGAATGAGATTGGGTACTCGCTCTCTATATTAGGTAAATAAAGACTTGGCACTTTTTAAAGGTAACTTTACCAAAGAACAAAAGAGCCAGTAACTAATAATTCTGAATTGTCTCAGCAGTTAATGTCTTCTGTACTCTTTTATTTTTTCTTTTTTTTTCTTTTTGCCGGACCAGTTTGCGGTTAGAAGAATGTGCCTTTTTTTGTACATTTGCATTTAGGTTTTATAATTTTTAATTGATGTATGGACACAAACAAACAAACAAACAAACACAAAAAGCATGAAGGAAGACTTGGATCCAAGTAGTGCCACGCTTTACATCATCACTACAAGTGTTCAGTGTAAAGAAAAGAAGAAAAAAAATAATTTTGAAACTATGAAATTCCTGATTTCACAAATACACTGTTATTTGTACTTTTTAATGTATTAGATAAAAACTCACTGCTCTTAAAAGCTCGTTTTTATTATGATCGCATGTGTAAATTAAGTTGTCTTCCAAAACTGTGTACTTGTCTGGTCAACTGTGTATGATCAGTTATCTACCTCAAGGCTTATTTCTTTTTCTAATGGGACAGGTTGCTGGCCCTCCCTGTTACCACAGACCAAATCACCCTAGCTCAGGAGCTAGGCCTAAGCAATTCTTCTTTTCACTTTTTGTTTCCTTTTTAGTTTTTAAATTTTATGTGAGTATTCAAGTACAGATGTCAGTGACATTTCATAGTTTCAAAAGTCAATGCTGCTCTGAGAAGTGTAGATTCTAATAAATTACATAGACATAAGAAATATGTTTTGATTTTGTTTTCTATTTTTTTATTTTTTTTTTAAAGAAATAAAGTTGTGGTATTATTGGTTCTATGCTCCCTTGAATTGACTGCTTTGTCAGAGTTCAAATTCCTTGCATCTTGTTTCTTGGAGGTGGCATGTTTCCCAAAAAGAAGAAGAGGAGTTATTTAATACTTGGTCTTTTTCAATTAGCTAAACATTGAGTTAAAACAGTGTTTCTCAAACTTGGCAACTTTAAAATATGTGGACTTCCAACTGTCAGAATTCCCCAGTCATAATTGGATGTGGGATTCTGGGAAATCCACACATCTTAAATTTGCCAAGTTTGAGAAACACTGGGTTAGTGGGAGGAATAGATGCTATTGGAAAATCTGAACTAAGTGCCATACTCATTATCTGCTAAGATTTGCAAAATGTATCCTCTGTACATAAAAAAAATAATCAATTACTTAAACATCACATAGTAGACAGCCATTAAATTATAAAAAAATAATTTATGAAGAAAGACCTTTTGTACAGATTGAAAAAAAGATTTTCATAGAGATATCTATATGATCAAGAGAGTTAATTTTTTATTTTTGTTTTACTAGTGCCACAAACTTGCCAGTGGTAACTTATTTGTCCGGTTCAAGATAACTCTGTCATTTTGTTTCCTAGGACTTGTTGTTAAATGCCAAAAGACATTTTTGAACTGTAAATTTGATTAGATTGTTAGCTTTTTTCTGTTTTATTTCTTTTGAAAACTTTTGAATAAAAAACATCAAAACAAAACCAGACTTTCTCATGCTTTAAAAAAAACTATATAGATTCAGCTGATAGTTAATCTTTATAACATCCACAAAGTTATAACATATTGCTCATTATTTGAATATGCTTTACTGACAATATTTACATAACCTATCAAAATATTTTCCTCTGAAAACTAAAGACAATGTTCAAAGCTCTCTATCCTCCAGAAAATCAACATCAAAATACAGCAGCTTGCCCAAAACATCCAGAAAACTTTTTTCTTCATCCCTCCTTTCCAACTCCAGAACAAATACACCATACTTAAAACATTTGCTTTTTCCCAACAATTTTGAGTTTCTTGCAATCGAATGCTATTCTGTGCCAGTTCCTACCCCAGCACCAACATTAGAGCTAGTCAGGTCTAATGGTTAAGTCTCCACACTAGAAACGAGTAAATTGAGTTTTAATCCCACTTTAGCCATAAAAGCCATCTGAGTGACTTTGGGCCAGTTACGCTCTCTCAGTCAACCTACCTTACAGGGTTATTGTTGAGAATAAAGGAGGAACAAGGTGTGTTATATGTTTGCTGTTTTGAGTTATTTATAAAAATAATAAAGATGGGATAAATACAGGTAATCTTCAATTTACAACACTTCATTTAGTGATCAGTCAGTTACAGTGGCACTGAAAAAAGTGAATTTTGACAATTTTTCACACTTGCAGCATTCCCATGATCACGTGATCAAAATTCAAATGCTTGGCAACTGACTCATGATGGTTGCCGTATCCTGGGGTCATGTGATCACCTTTTGCAACCTTCTGACAAGCAAGGCAATGGGGAAGCCAGATTCACTTAACAACCTTATTGATAACAACTGCAGTGATTCACTTAATTGGCAAGAAAGGTTGTAAAATGGGGCAAAGCTCACTTAACAACTGTCCAGCTTAGCAACATAAATTTTGGGCTCAGTTGTGATTCTAAACAACCTGTAAATAAACATTGACAAAATTACAGCCACCACTCAGAAGCTACACCAACATAGCAAACATCAAGATCATCCAAAAGAGATAAATCATTATGTATTTGCATCCTGATGTGACTGGTGCAAATTTATATAATTCGTGATGGTTGATGACATGGTGTCTGTTACATTGCTTGTCTACCTCCTTCCCTCCCTGCAGACACTTCCATTCTGAGAAGAGCCACGTTCTCCTTTTTTTCCCTGACCAATGTGTCTGATGATGAATTATTTATAGTAAAAATATTGTTTCTGTGGATTCTAAATGGAAGAGTCTCTGAAAGTTTCTTCTTTGCCGGAATAGGAAGGTGCGTTTTCTGTCTTAATTTTAATATGCTGGCCAAATATAAGAAAGCTCTTTTATTCTTGCTGGACTGCTGCAGTCACACTCCTCATTTTCAATTCTTCTCAGAAGCAGAGTAGTTTACAGAGTAGTCTTTCTAAACTGGTTCCTTGAGCTGGCTGCTTTTGCTCCAAGATTATGGGGCACATGATGGTGTGCATAACTTGGTTCCCCTGAGCAGAAAGCCAGGGCAGAAATCTGGCAGATTGCAAAGTACCATGAGCATCTGCTCCAAATGCATGCTCTGGCATATTTTCCAATTAGTTTCCATGAGCCTCCGAGCCATGCACTGGAATGGAAATGCCAAGCTTGCACAAGAGACAAAAAGGTTTCCTCTGTATTCTTGGATGTTGATGGGTAAAGGGTAAAATGGGTAGAAACAAATTTAGGAATTGAGTTAGAAGTATTTTATAGTTCACTCCTATCAAAAGCTAAGAACCACCTTTGCTTGCATTTGTGTTTAATAATAAATGCCACCTTTCTTACTCAGCTTCTTGATGAGGATATGCAAGCAGGGAGAGCATCCTGATGAAATTGGCAGTTTGGATAGAACTGTAAAACCATGCCGTCTGGCTAGAGCAGGGTAAAATACATCCTTCATGCAATGACTTGCTAATATGACACCCATAGCTACTATTAGTGGATTCCTTAAAAATGGCATTGCTGCTTGGAGATGCTGGGACATCTCCACTTTGTTAGCAGGGGGAAAGAGGATATGAGATTGTGTTAGGATATTGAATTTAGTAGCTGGAACAGTAATGTGTATAATAGGCCAGAACACATAGTTGTAGTTGATTAGTTAGAAAGTGCTAACTCATGCATCATGCAATCTACGCTATTATTGGTTGCTGTAAGGGGGGTGTTTCCCTTCACACACACACACACCCCGCCACTATTACAAGCCAGTTGGTGAAAAGTGAAAATTTTGATTGTAATCGTGCACATGTGTAGATAACATTTTTAATGACTCAGCCATGCGGTAAGATGGGCAGCCATACATTTCATACTTACATTACATACCTACATACAATGTCTTTAAGCATCTTTGGTAGACCAAAAGAAAACAATGATGAAAGTTACAAAGATGTAAGAGTTTCAAACAGGAATGTTGCAGTGGGGTAGGACAGAAATTTTAAACTGATTGTGACCTTTTTAGTGTTTTAAGTGTACCAATTAACTATACTGCTGTTTCTCTTGGTCTCCTTCCATCCACATTCTGATGTTTATGTATTATTTATATCCTCCTCTCTGTTGT